GTGCAGCCTTGGTGCCTCACTCAGAGACTGTTGTGACCCCACTCAGCGTCTCCAACAGCTGGGGAGCTTTGGTGCTCCATGTGGGATGAGCTGAGGCCTGCACAGCATGCTCTATCTAGCTGCTTGGCCTTGGTGCACCACCCGGAACCTGGGAGAATCCCGCCCGACAACCCTGTGGAGATTCAGAGTGCCATGTGGGGGGGCTGAAGGTCCACCCAGCATACTCCCCCATTTCAGGAGACGTTGAGTGTCACTAGGGACCTGGTAAGGATTGCCTAATGACTCCCACACAACTGAGGAAACTCCCTGCCCTGTGGACGGAACATCCTCAACTCAGGAAGCAAGTGACACTTGCATTTAGCTTCCTGAGGGCAAACAGGAAGTGATAAAACAAAAGAGCAAAGTGCAGTCTGTAACCTCCAGCCCGCCCCAAACAGGCCCAGGAGACATGGACATAGAAGGACGTGTGAGTCACACACCTGAAACTTCTGAAATGGGAGCAACTGAAGTAAAGAAACAACTCCAGGAAGCTGTAAAGAGCTCAGATCAGAAATAATCTCCTAGGTAAAAGAAGAAATAATAAATGTAACAAAAGAAATGTTGGACACATTTAAAGAAGACATAGTTAAAAAAAAAGAGGAGCACTGAAAAAGGATGGAAACCTTGAATAAACAATATGAGAAAGAAATAGAATGCATGAAACTGATTCAAAAAGCTATCCAGGAAATCAAAATTTCCACTGAAAGCTGGCAAAACCACCTCAATGCATGTGAAGATAGACGTTTAGACATTGAAGACAAGATTATAGAGAGTGAGTATTGTCTCTCTAGTGTAAGAAACTGAAAGAGTAAATAAGATACAAAATCTTCAGTAAGTGTTGTGAAGGGTAACAGACTGCTTAAAGGGGAAAAATAACTCAGATAGGGAAAAGGGAGAAAAAAAGGAAGGGAAAAGAAAAAAAGATAAAAATTTGTTTATACACACTTAAGATAGCTAAGATGAGTGTACTGCTAATTCTATTAGTTCTTGGAACAAAACAGCTAGGATTCATAGAATTAGATCTATTTTGCATGATTGTATCTGGTAATCTGAGTAACTCTTTTGCAGATAACTATGTAAAATAACAAACTTAGATATGTTCCTACCACCTTGTTTTGAAAGTCTATATTGTTTTGGGCTCTTCATTATTGTTATTTTTTGTCTCTTTGGATTCTTGTTTTTCTTGTGTTTTGTCTCATTTTTCCTTCTATACAGAATGGATAGATGTACATGTATAGGTTTATACATGTGTAGATCTTCTGCTAAAGACTTTACAAGAATTGATTTTATTACATGTCATGGTATCAACACCTACTTTGAAGAAAATGAGACATTACAGTAGCCATTGCTGATTTTCTGTCATCTTGTTTTGAAGTCCAATAATACCTTTATTCTTTGTTTTTATTGGTTTTAGTCTGTTTTCAATTATTTTATTTCATTATGTGTGAAGGTATGGATGGCTGTTTTGCAGAGAAGAGACATTATGGTAACCATTGTTCATTTTCCTATTGTCTGGTTTTGAATGCCTATAATGCTTCTATTCTTTAATTTTTATGAATTTTATACTATTTTGTCTTGTTTGAATTCGTTGTGTGTGAAGATATGGACAACTGTTTCAAAGAAAACAAGAGCCATTACGTAGTCACTGTTGATTTCCTGTTGTCTTGTTTTGAAATCCTGCGTTGCTTGCATTGTTATGCTCTGATCTGCTTTATTCTGTATTGGTTTGTTTTATTCTCTTTAAGAAAAAAAAAAGAAAACTATACCAAAGAAATACTTCTTCACAAAAAAATATGTGTAGGCGCTGTTTTCTCTAACAAGGTCTTCTGCAGCAGGTTTGCTATGGTCTGTATAATGCACGACCTCTTCCAGAAATCAACAGGACCTTTCTGGAGTATTTTAACGCTCATTTTCCACAGTCCACTGTCAACTGGCCGCTGTCCTGTGGATATTAAATTGTGCTGGCAGGACAGCTGAGGCATTGCTTTAATTATAACGTTGAAAATGGAGCAATTTGAGACCTAGTGTATTAATTCCTTTAGAAAAAATTGCAACAGTCTTCATAATTGGTTTACTAGGACTTCAAGTTGATTTTAAGAGCTTTCTTAAAGAGTACGGGTGTATTTTAAAATTTCGCCTTGCATTGGGGCAAAGATTTGGTATGCATGGGTCACAGGCTTTGAAACTTTACTGTTGCCATTTTTGTTTAAACAAAGTAATATCTTTCAAAGCCCTTTATTTTTATTTCATAGCCCTTTAATGCCTCTCTGTTGTCCTCGTGGTGTCATATAAATCCCTTCGTCATTCAAAGCCCTCCACTCTCTGACAACAATGTACTTTGCAATTTGTCTGTTAGTGTTTTCCTACAAAAATTCTTCCTTCTTTCTAAAAACAGTTATGCTTAGCATACTCCACAATCTTTTCAAGTCTCCCCCCTCCTCTGCCTTTAGTGTTACTAGCCTTGCCTTCAGGACTGGACTAAAATCCCTTTTGTAAGCACCTTAACCCATGGCCACAGCTGTTTTATCCTCTGTACTTCTCAGTCCTGACCTGGTCAGCCAGATGCAGTTTACTATCAGCCGATCACGGCCATTTGGTCTAGGTTTATTTCTTTGACCTGCTCCTGAAGTGTAAGAGTTTTATGCTTCTTTCTTCTTTCCCTGCATTCCTTTTATCTGACATGATAAGAACTACACCTTCAAAAAGAAAAAAAGATTTATATCTTCTTTTCATTACTGCCTTGTACCTACTCTATGTCTAGTATTTTTATTCTCTGCTCTTTATGCCCACTAGGGGATGCAAGCAAAGGAGTCAGGAGGCTAGCAAGGTTCTCAGGGGCTCACAGGGCCAGCTGGGCTCTGGAGCCAGTGTGCTTGACCACTGACCCATGTGGCCGCGTGGAGTTTGGCGATGACTCCCTTTTTATTATTTGTAATTGCTTCCTTCTCAATGCGGTTTGGCAGCGTGGATGACTCGTTCCTTGGATGTTTCACTTCTCTTAGATTCTGTGACACCCCTTTCTCTCTCCTCCCCTGAACCCCAGCTCAGTTCTTTCCTACTCGCCTTCCTCTAATACTTGGACCCAACTTTGCCATCATCTGTTTCCCGTGCTTTCTGGACAATCCTCTGCCTTGTGTACTATATTTCACTCACAGTAGCGTGACGCCACCATCTCACAATCAGGGGGATAAGGTCACCACTTGGTGATGGGCTACTTACTTATTCATAAGTACTGTTGTAAATACTCTGAATGACTCTATTAATGAATTAGACTCACCCAATTCTACTATTAATGGGAAGTCAAACTCATTTATATTTCAGGAATGTGTGTGTGCTGGCTTACGTTTGGCAGGGTGACACTGGGTTACCTGGAAGGAAATTGCTCATAATTCATAATCCATTTCATATTGTCTGAAAATATTTGTGATTTGTGGTTATTTATATATCATTAATAGTTATAGAAAATTTAAAATATGATAGCCTATAAACTGGGAATTTATAGATCTTTTTGCTTCCTTGACTTTATCCACAGGTCTATATTTCATGAGATGGAAAAAACGTATGTGTGCATATGTGTCCTTCTATCATCAAAACAAAAGTGAGGTTATAGTTATAATTTTAAGTCAAAATCAAACTCTTCATGCAGATGATATGTGGAACAATACTATTTATATTAACATCATGCAAATGTAAATGCTATGTGATATATGTGGTATCTCTATATATTTATATATTTTGGGGGACCTGGGATTGACTCAGAGCCACATGCATGCTAGTTGGGGACTCTACCAATGAGTTAACCAAGTGCATTCCATCAGTCACTTGCTAGTAAAAAGCCTGTGTGGCTGTGACCTATGAAACATTTTGGCAGCTCTTTGCTTTATTTGGCCAACTCCTTCAGTGAGTGATGTGTGTGTGTGTGTGTGTGTGTGTGTGTGTGGTTGGCATTACCGTCTTAATATACTCCTGAAAGTGTGTCTCCTACGAGTGTCATTCATCATCTGTTATAGCAAAACACAAGTTAAACCTTTCTGCTCTAGGTTGTTGTAATGCTAAGTGTGCTTCACTCTCTCCCTTACTTGGTGGCTTGAATCTACATCATCAATGGTGCTCCCTTTTCTGTAATCACACACACATTCATGCACCCACCCCCAGGCATCATTCTGTGGATGTCATTTGGCATCCAAGGACACAGCACATCTAAAATTTAACTCGTTTTCAATCTCAGTCTTCACCCGTTTCCCTTTACTTCAGTTGCCCTGCATGTCCCTTAGTTGTGTTGCCATCATCTAGTCTGTTAATACACTGAGAGTAATGTCCAGTGAGCCTAGCCCAGGAGCCTCACCCTGTTTATCTACTAAGCATCCCTAAAAGTGTTTACAGTGTTTTTTTTTTCTCACTATCTTTGCCCTTGTGTGGTAACTCACCATTCCTTGTAGAATGTTTCATAGTCCAGTGGCTCTCAAATTTTAGTATACATCAAAATTATTAAAATGTAAATGGTTAAGGCTCAATTCTCACAATTCTGATTCAGCAAATCTAGGGATAGTCTTGTAAAATTGAAGTGTTAACCAGGTGTTTTTCTGAGAAAGTTTTCATTTCTTCTCTAAAAGAGAGCAAATGTTGGGTAACACTATGATGATGGACACGTGATATACATCTGTTAGTTTTTACAGAATGAACAATAATAAAGGTGAAAAGTAGTATAAATTATCAACTCTGAGAAACAATACTGTGACAGTGTTGAGTCATTTATAGCAACTGCACAGCATCCTGCAGGATTTTGACAGTGGGATGTTTGTGCTTGTATTGGGTTGGGGCGTATTGTTACTGTCTATGGCTTCTGAAACTACTCTCAAAATAAAGTGTGCATTTTGAAAACAATTATACACATGTTAGCACATTTAAGCTATCTAGTAAATTAGTCAACTCTGCAGTATTGTACTTCTTACTGTATAACACATCCCATCTGCCACATAGCACTCTTTCTCACTGCAGTAGAATGTCTGTTAAACATGGAATGGAGAGAATTGTGACCTACACAAGAGTTACAGATCCAAATTCCACCGAAGGAAACCAGTTCAGTTCAAGGAGAGGAGCACATATTTTCACATGAGGTGTTGAATACGCCTCAACCTAATAATCATGACCCTTAAGTTGCTGTCCACAGCCAGTTGCTCTATGAAGTCAATTTTCCATCCTGCCGTTCTTGGCCATTCTTGGGAAATTTTCCTTGGCCCTGGGATCTCACTGAGGCACCCGTGTTTCTATCACAGGATTCCTCCACCAGCCAAGTACGGCGGCCGGCACACAGTGACTATGATTCCTGGAGATGACATTGGGCCTGAACTCATGATGCATGTCAAGAGTGTGTTCCAATGTGCATGTGTGCCTGTGGACTTTGAGGAGGTGCGGGTGACCACCACATCTGGTGAGGAGGAGATTCATAATGCCATCATGGCAGTGCGTCGAAACTCTGTGGCTTTAAAGGGCAGCATTAAAACCGACCACACCAAGCCACCTTCTCACAAATCCTACAACAACTTGCTGCGCACCACCCTGGACCTCTATGCCAGTGTTACCCATTTCAAGAACCTGCCGAATGTGAACACTCACCACCAGGGCATAGACATCTTGGTCATACGGGAAAACACGGAGGGTGAGTACAGCAACCTGGAGCACGAAAGTGTGAAAGGCGTGATCGAGAGCCTAAAGATCATCACGAAGGCCAAGTCTTTGCGCATTGCTGAGTACGCCTTCCAGCTGGCGCAGAAGATGGGGCGCAGAAAAGTTACAGCTGTGCACAAGGCCAACATCATGAAGCTGGGAGACGGACTCTTTCTCGAGTGCTGCAGGGAGGTGGCGTCCCACTATCCTCAGGTCGCCTTAGAGACCATGATTGTGGACAATGCTACCATGCAGCTGGTGACCTGGCCTCAACAGTTTGACGTCATGCTGATGCCCAATCTTTATGGTAACATCGTCACCAGCATCTGCACAGGGTTGGTGGGGGGCTCAGGCCTTGTACCTTCAGCCAACTATGGCTGCTTGTGCGCAGTGTTTGAGACAGCCGCAAGGCAACTGAACAAGAATCCAGCGGACTGGAACTGGGTCAATCCAACTGCCATGCTGCTGGCGAGCTGCATTATGCTGGATTACCTCCGCCTGCACTCCCACGCCGCCACAATTCGCGCTGCGGTCTTGGCATCCTTGGGCAATAAAAATATTCAAACACCAGATATCGGAGGCCAGGGTTCCATGATGGAAATTATTCGACATATTATTGACCACATCCGATATGCCAATTAAATGATTGGTCCTTGGAAACCATTATCACCCAAAGGCCTTTGTTGTCCTGTTCTGTTCCTGCCCATCCTTAGAATCCTTGCCAGCTTGGCTAATGTTTCCTCCAGAATAAGCCATCTACTGTGGTGCAATAGGTGTGTGAGTGGACCAAGACTGATCTTTTCCCATAACATTGCTTATTTAAATTCGCCAAATCTATTGCCTTGTAAGTAAACCAAGGACTCTTTCCTTTTTAATCCACAATTTTCACCTACCTGTGTTAGGACACATTGAATAAATCGGAGCTGTTTTGGAGGACAAGGGTTTCCAGAACCTGGCACACTGCTATCCAAGCGGTAAAAATTCAGCAGAAACAGTGCACAAGAAGTCTGGCTTTTCTCTAGAAGTTATTAATAAGTTAACTAGTGCAGTGCATCCTGCCTGCAACATACAGATGGCAGCTTTATTAATAAATAAGGTAATGCAAAGCTGCGCTGTCACAGACTGCTTCTGCACCTCCCTTGGAGTTCCAGGCCTGGTATTGTTTAGGGGCTTTTGGCTAGGAATTTTTCTGGTCTTTTTCACATACAAAAATGGGCTCTGAAACTCCTGGAGGAGGAACTCTTGAAGTTCTTTGAGCCGGGATGAGGTGTGTAAGAATCACATCTGTTACATCCACTGGGCCACATTTCCTTGCTGTACAGATAAAACCATGGATTGCAAACTCCATGGTTGCTGCCTTCACAGATGCTTCTGTTCATGATTTGAAAGAAAGAAAGTGTCCAAAAAACAAAGTATCCTTCTCTAATATGAACATTTTCCACCCTGTTTATACATTGAATTTATATTACTTTGAAGATCTTCATTCAGAAACAAAAATAATTTTACTCCTTGGATTTTTGTTATCAGAAAGTTAAAAAATAACAATTCTAATATCTTACAGTAGTTTTCTCAGGAGGACTTGCCTGAGGGGAAGAAGTAAGACCGAGATAGGCAGTGAATTCTATGCTTTAGAAATCTGACTTCTTATCTCAACTATGACCTCCGGATCTCACCCTGGTTCATGTATTGGGAGTTGAAGACATTCTTCTTGGACCATAATAAGTTCTTGTGCTCTCCACAAAGTCTTAACTTAGTCTGATTATCTGGATCCCACCTGTGCTAATTATGTATGAAGTCGGGCCAGGGTTAGAAATCCAAAAGCTATTTGGACAGGGTTTAGTTTGAGGAATAAATGACCATATTTACCTTATCTAGAAGTCTTCAGAAAAATAATCAGGAAAGAATCAACTGTAAAATCATCACTATAGTTCCTTTATTGGATGGGTACATAACCATCAGCAAGGAAGGGTTTTGATAGAGTTATTTCCAAAAGATGAAAAATATTAACAAAAGATGAGAAATATAAAATAAAAAGCGGCCTTTATTCTGAGAACACGGAGAGAGATGACCGGCACCCCACCGCTGGCGTCCGGCGATCTCTCCGGCGGACACGCGGCGTGGGGGCCTGTAAATAACCTCGGTTTGGGGTGGAACCTAAGGCGGGCATTAGGGATACACAGGTAGCCCATTGGTCCTAGGTTTGGCGCCATATGTAAATTCCCAGGGGCGGGAAGATGGCGTCACAGGTAACTTCCTAGGGGCAGGGCAAGATGGGGCTTCCTGCTTCCGGTTGTGGCTTTCCTGGCTACAGTGTCCTGTCTGGGCCAAACCTTTCATATCCCGTCTTATGGTTATTATTATGAAAAGGGGCGAAGATTTCTCTCTTTAACTACTTCCTGCTGGCAAAGGGCGCTGTACTGGAGCCTAGGGGAGTCGACGGGATGAAGGTTGATGCCCAGGTAGACGCTGGTACCAGGTGTTTTGGCCAGGACAACTTCACTGGTGAATGCACGTATGTCAGACTGGAAAAACAAAGAGACAAGATGTTATGAGGAGACATGGCACTGTCATATTTAAGGACCCAGGTGAGGTAGAAGGCTGCATTTGATTTAGACATGTTCCAAGGTAAGGCAGAATTCTGAAAATTAAACGTGGGGTTAGGAGGAGTGGAGTTATGAGAGGTGATTACTCCCCCATCTGAAAGCATAAAAGTTAAGACAGTAGGTTGGTGAGGCTTGTCTCTGGTATGCATGATGTTGGAGTCTGTAGGCAATACTGTTAAAGAGTCCTGCTGTAAAAATGATCATTAATAGAATGTAAGAAATTAGGAACCAAGGTGGATAACAAAACATGACTTAGCCTGTTAACTGTGGCTGCGAGGCCTTCGTGAAACGGAGATTGGGTAGGCAACAGAAGATGAGATGACCACTCAGAATGATCAGATTTAGGGCTGGAAGGGCACCTCTTAGCCTGAGTGATATGAAACCAGGATGGCAGTCCAGCAACTTTTATTTAGGCATGGGTCGCTGTAACCTGGTTGTAGTCCTTGGAATGATTTGCTGTAACAGAACTTTAGCAAGTATGAGAAAGGCTTTTATGTCTCCTGAAAAAGTATAAACAAAGTGAGAAGACAAAAATGTATCTGTGAGTCTTGACTAGGGTTACCTGAGAAATTGGTGAATAAGAAAGGAAGGGGGTGGTCTATATCACTGAGGAAGGGTCCACCAGCAACAACAGGTGGAAGCTGTTGAGGCCTCAGTGTGTCTAAGTCAGCCTGTATAAAAGGCATTTTAAGATTTAGGACTGGGACCTGCACAAAATAGGCCCTGTTTATAAATGGCATAGGTTGACCATCAATACCATGTCATAGAGATTGATTTAATATAGCAACCTGAATACTCAGGAAGAACTCTGTATATATGGCCTCTATGTCCACAAATATAGAGAATGTCTTACCTGAGACTTTAGTGCGACTTGGAATCCGAGACGGACACCCACAAAGGGGGCTGCTGGCCCTGAGTCTTCTCAGTCTTCAGCAGCAATTTTCTGTCGGTGACGAATTTGGCAGTGTCGACATTTCCTGTGAGGGCTATTACTTAGGATGACTTACCCACTCTCTGGTGGCTAGGACAGTCCAGTAGCCCTGGAGTAGGGTCTCAAAGAATGCCAGGATGGGGCATTTTCTTGTCCAGTATCTTCTGCTGCATTTGAGCGTGGTCCATGGAGGGGGCAGGCAGCTCCACCTTGTGTAGGTTTACCTGTCTCAGAACTCCAAGTGTCACAAGTGTTAAAAATATAAAAAACCATATTAAGATCTCTCTAAGGTTTGAAGGTCAAGTTTTGCCTTTTTGTTTGGGATTTGGACTATAGTAGAATTAAGTAAGTATGCAGGAATTTAATATTGGCATTTTGGATTAGAGAGCAGGCTTTATCTGGATGGCATATTGCTTTTTTATAGGGTGACACGTAGAATTAACAAAAAAGCTTTAATCTGCCCAACAAGGCTTTAATGGAACATGTTTTGCAGTAAAGGTTTAGCAATCTTATGAATAAATCTATCAAAACTGATCTAATACTGTCAAATTCTGAACACATTTACTTTGAACCAAGACAAATAAAATAAAACTTTGAAGAAAACCCTTGTCTTGAAATAGAGCTAGTGGTTCCCAGCAAAAAGGAATTTATAACCTTAGTTGTTAAACAGGAGATTGGTGAAGGCTTTGATTGATAAACAAGGCTGGTAAAATTATCAGGTGGCCAATAACCTTGATTAAATGGTTTGAGAATTGTAATAAAAAAGCATCTTTTGAGCAGAACCAAATTGTAAAAAAAGCATGCCTGAGCAGAGCCGCTGAGCTGCTGTTTTGTGGCGCTCTGGCAGAGCACGCCCAGTGGGTGGGGCAAGCGCTGGGATGTAGCGCGCAGGGGCGGGCTCAGACTGCCCCTGGAAACGTGTAAGGTGGCAGCGGCGGCGACGGCGACACACAGGGGAGGGAGGGGCTGGGACGGCGCATGGGGGAGGGGCTGGGAGGCGGCCCGACACAGCGCGCGAAGCTGGAACTGCTCGCAGGGCTCGAGGATTAGAAAGCCAATTTAGGAACACAGCTGGGTTTTGATTAGCTTCCTGGACCTGTTTTAAAAATTTGTTATAGTTAGTATGCTTGTCCTGCTCTGGCACAGCTATAGGCCCAGAGTCATTATAAACGTCCTTAAAATGTAAATCATAACCATTAGTAATAAATTTAAATTGCCTGATATAATTCTGTGGGTCAACAGAGAGGCTACCTAATTTAAGGGTAATCTGAGATAGATCAGAAAGGGAAAAAGGCACATGGATGTTAACAAGTTCCTTGGGGCCAACTTGCTCCCGAAGCGGTAGCAGAGCCTGAGGAGGTTCTGGAACAGAGGGCTTTTGAGCAGCCATCCTTCCGATAGGCGCATGTGAGCAATCATCTGTAGAGCGGCTACAGAGCTGCTGCCGGTCACCCTGGGAAACACGAGCAGATGGCATCTCACTGTGTGCCTTGTAGCTAGAGGACTGCTGTCGGCAGCACAATGAAGCGTCATGTGCACTGCAACAGGGCGGCTGTTGTAGTTCACAAGAGGAGCCACAAGGAGACGCCTGTTGACAGTAAGGGTCCTGGAAACATGGCGGCGCCCTGTCACGTAACCCGAAACATGGCGGCGCCTGGGAACATGGCGGCGCCCTGTCGCGTGACCCGAAACATGGCGGCGCCCTGTCGCCATGTGGCCCTCCGGAACATGGCGGCGCCATGCCACGTGGCAGAGGGTTGCAACATGGCGACTGTTCCCCGCGCAAGCTGGAACAATCACGCGACCTGCTGGAAGGACATAGCGAGCGAGACCTAGTATGGTGGGCAGGCGGTGAGAATGCTGTAGGGGATACAGAATTCTCAGGAGAGGAAGTCGGAGACTGTGAGGAAGCGCTAACAGAGGGATTAAAGCTGCTGGGAGAGTTATGGGTCCCAGGAGAAGGCAGGGGAGAGGATGGAACATCGGGAGATAACTGCGACACAGAGGGATTAGAGCTGCTGGGAGAACTATGGGTCCTGGAAGGTGGAGAGGGAGACGATCGTACAGTGGGAGGTATCTGCAATGGAGAGGAATTAGAGCTGCTGAGAGAATCAGGCACAGGGGGAGGAGAAAGCGGTCCGGCGGGAGGTAACGGCAGGGAACGAATTTGGTGGTAGGCAGGCGGCGGCTGGGAAAACAATGGAGGGCAGGACAGAAAAGTTTGTGGCGCAGTAGACTTAGCTAAAAGTATCTCAGCGGGAGCACAAGACTTAATGAGAGATGGGCGTGTTCTCAGAATAAGAAAGGCTTGGACATAAGGGAGTTCCAATAACTTGTTGCCAGCTTGACAAAAATCATACAAGTTCCTGAGAATGCAGGGGTCAAATGTTCCTTGCCGAGGCCAAGGCTTGCCGATAAGCGGGTAGGTTGGCCAGACCTCCTGGCAGTAAAAAGTTAGTTGTTTAGTTTTTATGGTACCTTTAATTTTTAGAGTACGTAAATTGGAAATTAGGCATCGTAAAGGCGTCTTTTGGGAGTTAGAAAATACGTTCCCCATGACTGATTCAGGCAAGAAAAAAAAACCGGAGGTCC